ATAAAAGCATTTCCTTCAATTAATGGATTTGTTGTCAAAAGTGCCCTTGCCACTAAGGTTACTTGAAGAGCTTGGAAAGAAGCCATCAATTCCTTCAAAGTATTCTCTAATGTTTTCAACTCGATTTTCAAAAGTTTCTTTAGCTTTGTTAGCCATCTTCTTTGCAAGAGCTCTTACAAGAATAGGTGAAGCAATTCTTGGATAATTTCTTTAGGACCAATCATTCAACACACATGGATTCCTCACTGTGAAGAGTAACTTCAACCAACTACTTGTAAGGAAGTGTGACATGAGAGCCAAATAATTGTCATGCAAGCTAAAAGCATGAGGAGATTGCCTCCTTCATATCCTTTCCTTTTGTTGATTTTTTTTTTCGAAAAGAAAAAGAAAAATAATGAGGAGGTGGCCTCCTTCATATGTTTTCTTTTGTTATATTGAGGAACTTGCTTTTTCTCAACAAATAGAATTCAAGAAAATATAAAATTTGACTTCAAACTTTATTCCAACTAATCATAAACTTTCATTTCGCTTTATTTTTCCAATATTCTATTATTTAAAGCTCACGTTCACAATATCTTTTTATCATCTTTGAAAGCCTTTCTACAAATTTTGAAGCCACATTATGTTGATTTAGTGGAATAGTATGCTCAACCTCAATCATTTCAGAATATATTCCATTGATCAACTTTTTGAACTCATTATTGATTGACTAAATAACAACTGAAAATATTCTTCAATGGTGGGTACCAACTCAAACTCGAAAAAAACAAATCAATGCAGACGTGGGACATAAAATCTTAGGATTGCCCTAATGATTTCTTAGTCCAACTCTACTTGCAACACATCAACTATTCTTCCAAATTTCTTATCAAACCTCACTTTGTCAAGACTGCTTAGACCATTCCAAGCAGCAATCAAATCTTTTACACAAGGTCTTATGGTCTACACAGAAAATCCATCCTTGTGTGACTTGTTCTCCTTGGATTATATTGACATTCCAACTTAGAACTCACCCCTTTTTTTTTTTCCATTGTCCCTTTTCATGAAGAATCCATATGTTAAATAATTAATTATCTATTTATTAAAGGAGAGTTAATAAATGTCATCCTCTTAGTCGAATCCCTCACCTAAGAAACACAAAATCATTAGTTAAAAGTGAAATATTCCCTATGTGTCATATGTTTAAGGTTCTTAGACTTTGAAGGTGGTTTACTAGGCTGGCCACCCTAGGATTAAGTTTTGTCTAAGTCGATTACATGTGGTTTTCTAGTGGATCTTATACAATTAGGCTTTTTCAACTGCTAACTTCCATAAGTCAACAATTATTGACTTTCATAAAGTCAACAATTGCCAACTTCTATAGAGTTAACAAGAGGCATTTCATGACCTAATACAGTAGTAGCATTATGGTTGTCAGGCCATATTAACCCACAAAATAAACCTAAAAGGGATAAATCTCACTTCATAAAGAAAGCATTGCACTTTTCATTGCTCCATGAGTTATCCATCTATCTACAAGTCGGGTTCACCTTGTCAAGGACAAAAAATGATATGCAAGTGAGGTGTGCGAGGGAGTATACACATAAAGTTAACATATGAAAATAAGAAAATATTAAATAAAATAACAAAATAAAAAAAACTTACAAGATACTCCATGCCACCTACAAAACAAAAGTTAGTAATTGAAAAACCCCCAAAATTAAAGTATAAATGGCTTGACCCCTCAATGTCCCCAGTGGAGTCGCCAAACTGTTGATGTGCCAAAATGGATGGAGTCGCCATCTATCCAAATGAGATGGGATAGATCACTAAGGTCTACGTAAAAATTGACTAGGTTCGGAGGATTGATTAAGCATGGGGAAGGTGTTAGGCACCCCACAACTTCCATATGGTCACCATATACTTTAATTTTGGAAAATTTTCAATTTTTATAAAAATAAATAATAATTATCAAGAAAAGTAAACAAAAAAAAAAAAAAAAAATTCAATCAAAACACCTAAAAGCACTTCATTATCATTTTTCCCTTTTCTTTTTTTTTTCTTTTTTGTTTCTGCTTTCTTTTCTTTTTCTTTTTTTTTTTAAACCTAACTATTAAGAAAGTTCTTCTTATTCTTTTTTTCTTTTACCTGATGCATCTCTTACAGTAATGACAATATCTTCGGAAAAAGAAAACGCTTTATGGGTAAACAAAACAAAAACAAACAAAGTAGACTTCTCCTGAAAAGATTCTACATTACTGGTATAATTCCCAACAATTAATATATCACGATCTATAAACATTTTCTTTTTTATCAAGATTAATTACAAGCAAAACATGGAAAGAAACAATTTAAAAGGGAAATCAAGCAATTACCAATAACAAAAGAAAGGAAGAAAGAATAGAGTATAACAAGAAGGAAATGCAGAAGAACAAATGTAGGAATGATGCACACCTGAAGCAAATAGAAGAAAAAAATCAAGACTTTATTTCTTGAAGTCCAAATACAAGTTTCTATATCTCTCCTTTCTTCTCTACTCTCTTTCTCCTTCTCAATCTCTCCGATATTCCTTTCGAGCTTTGCCAATTTTCTCCCCTTTTCTCCCGATTTGTTTCCCAATTTTTGAATCCCCCCCCAAAAGTCGAAGGCGCCCCCCCTTTTTATACAGAAACAGAGAGGACTCCAATCCTTTTCTAATTCTACATTTTAATCCCAATTCCCAAAATTACAAATAATAATCTAATCCTATTCGAAATTGGAATTCTAAAACTAATCTAGTCTTTTACACATCTTTCCTCTTTCAAGATTAGATCCATACCTTTTAAAGATCAGGACTCCTCATTTGAATCGACTTTGAAAACTTCTTCTTCAGTTCTTGATAAGGACTTCAAATTCGAAAATCTCTTCTTGTGTTGTTGTGATCTATTTAAACTTTGAGTGGATTTAGAGATAAATCAAAATAATTTTGAAGTTTTGGGAGAGTGGCTGCGGCAAAGCAAGAGAAGGCAAGAATCGTGAAAATTGAGGGCTAGGGTTTGTCTGAACCCAGACCTTTTTTTTTTTTTAACCTATTGGTCAAAACGACATCATTTTGCCATTTTCTCTTCTCAACCTTTCAAGTTCCAGCCTTTATAAAAATAGTCCATTGCCTTCTAATTTTATCATTTAGCCCCAATTAAAATTGGGTTATGACAGTTGCCCCCTCTTTACTTGTCTTTTGTAAAATGAAAAGTAAAGAATAAAAGAATAAGCCAATTTTAAGCTTTGAAAACAATGCATAAGTGAAAGTTGCAGTCTTCATCTTATCTTTTGCAAGATGTGGTCTTCATCTCTTGCAAGATGTGGTCTTCATCTCTTCTTCTTCTTGAGATGTGGTCTTTATCTAGGATGTGACTTCTAAGATGCGATCTTCATCTTATCTTTTGGAAGCTGTGGTCTTCATCTCTCCTTCTTCCTCAGATGTGTTCTTCATTTCTCCTTCTTCCTTAAATGTGGTCTTCATCTAGGATGTGACTTCTAAGAGATGTGACTTCTAAGATGCGGTCTTCATCTTATCCTTTGCGAGATGCGGTCTTCATCTTATCCTTTGCGAGATGCGGTCTTCATCTTATCCTTTGCGAGATGCGGTCTTCATCTCTCCTTCTTCCTTAGATGTGGTCTTCGTCTTTTCCTTTGCGAGATGCAATCTTCATCTCTCCTTTTTCCTCAGATGTGGTCTTCATCTAGGATGTGACTTCTAAGATGCGGTCTTCATCTTATCCTTTATGAGATGCGGTCTTCATCTCTCCTTCTTCCTCAGATGTGGTCTTCTTCTAGGATGTGACTTCTAAGATGCGATCTTCATCTTATCCTTTGCGAGATGCGGTCTTCATCTCTCCTTCTTCCTCAGATGTGGTCTTCATCTAGGATGTACTTCTAAGATGCGGTCTTCATCTTATCATTTGCGAGATGCAGTCTTCATCTCTCATTCTTCCTCAGATGTGGTCTTCATCTAGGATGTACTTTTAAGATGCGGTCTTCATCTTATCATTTGCAAGATGCGGTCTTCATCTCTCCTTCTTCCTTAGATGCGGTCTTCATCTAGGATGTGACTTCTAAGATGCGGTCTTCATCTAGGTTGTGATTTTCTAAGACGTAACTTTGTCTCTCTCTTCTTCTTTTTTTTCTTTTTTTTTGAGATTAAACTTCATTTCTTCTTCTTCCTAAGATGCAACTTCATCTAGGATGTAAGTTTCCAAGATGCCAACTTCATCTTTTCTTTTTTCTAAGATGCAACTTCATCTATGATTTGATTTTTTAGGACACAACTTCGTCTTCTTCTTCTTCTTCTTCTTCTTCTTCTTTTTTAAGATGCAATTGGATCTCTTCTTCTTTGACAATGATCTTTAATTAGAATTTCTTCAAACCTCAAATAATTTGTGCCTCTTGCCAATGTTCAATTCCATCTTGAACTTTCATCAATATCATGACTTTGAACTTTACAGGCTCAAGAGATTCAAATGTCCTTTAGTGTCCTCTTGAACCGTTAGTAATATTTTCCCTCTCTGATTATGCTTTAAATTTTATGAACATGTTTGATTCACCCACACTATCATCAAGAATTCAATGTATCTACTTGTATTTTTTTTAAATGTCAAATCCTACATGCAAAAATGATGATTTTTGAACCTTTCAAAGATGTTGAAATCAATGTCAAATGCAGTGATGCTTAAAACAATCATGGGTAAGATTAACGAAAAATCTTGTGAAGCACAATGGATTATATGAACAAATAATATAATTTAACTTCCATGAGTAACAATTGCCAATTTGACCTAGAACACAATTAAGATGCCACTTTCATACAATTTTTTTTTTTTTTTCAAAAGCAACTCCCAAAACACAAACTTCTTTTCTCACTTTTTAATTTTGAATCTTCCTTTTCTATTTTTCTTTTCTCTTCTTTTTTTTTTTTGTTCAAAAAGAAATTGATCCCATTTTCATAGATGAGCAAATTCCTCAAGAATAGCTTTGTAAGAATTTCAAATAGTGAAAGTGCCAATGAGAATTATTTCTTGAATTAGGAACCAAGTGGAATTTTGAGGTTTTCAAAAATTGAGATTTTGGCTAGAGCAATGAAATTTTCCTTCCCATGAAATCTCAACTTGTTTGCCACATTTATTTCTATTCATCTTCCTTCCTTCTTTCTTCTTCTTCTTCTTCTTTTTTATTTTTATTTTATTTTTTTTTTTTTGAGAAATATAACACTCAGATTCAATGGCTTTCAAATTCTCTGATAAGGGCTTTGAATAAGCTTGTATCATGGTTTAGGGCTTGGCTAATTAGAAAGAAAGGACATATAAGCTCAATGATAAAATCCCTTCTCCCCCCCTAATTTCACTCTTCACACCCTAGGTTCTTGATGTAGGTACATTCAAAGAAATAATCATCCTGGCTTTTTTATTATGATGATTGCCTTTTCTTTTGGCTCAAAGTGGGTAACTAAGGTCAATTTTTAGTGTTTGGGAAATAGAAACAAGGCCTTTTGTCATTGAACCTAAAAGCTCTTTAATCTGAGTATCATTTGCTATCCCTAGTTTGGTGATTGCCATCATGAAAATGTCTACAAATATCTAACCCTCAAAAAGGACCTTTTTATGGCTTGTTATAGGGTTTAGGTATGGCTACTGAAAAAATAGTCAATATATGCTTGAAGTACTCAATTTGCCCCCCAATTGCATGCCATATCTTAGAGATTCCTTCTTCAATTTATTTTAAAACTTTCTTCTCCTTTATTGGCTCCTTTATCCCATTTTCTTCTTCTTCTCCCCCCCACCTTTTTTTTTTGAGCTTCCACTTTTTTTTTTTTTTTTTTTTTTGAGCTTCTTTCTTCCTTTCAAAATAATTTTTACCAAATCTTCCAATGAAAGTAACATTTGCCTCCAGTTTGGCATGCAACAATATTCTAGGTTGTTGAATTGGTCATGAAAGAATGTTCATTGAAATTAAGCTCAAAGTCTTTAACTAAGGGTAATCTTTCAAGGTTTAGGGAGTAGAGTTTCAAAAGGAAGGCCTTCTATCGCTGGATCTTCTACCATTCATCCATTATTTTCCCCTCAATCACCTCCCTCATTTCTCAACCTCAATTTTCTTTATGGGATTCAAAATTGAATTCAAGTTCATTAACAATGCAACTCCTGGAAGCATAAAATTAAGGACTGAATAACTATGAATTAAAACATGAAGAACAAAGATTCAAATTGCAATATGAAAGGAGTTTGGAAAATGCAAATAAAAACTAACATGATAGACACATTTTATTCCAAAATGATAGCAATAGGGAAAAACTCCATTGTTCACTTATTCAAGCCTTCATCAATAGTGGTTCTAAGATCAACCTTGTATGAGTGAAGCTGTAAGTGTTTTGAATCCTTCAAATCTTGAATCTTATGCTTCAAAGTTAGACACCTTTCTATATCATAACCAATGGTCCTGCTATGATAATCACATTTGGCTTGTGGATCATACCAAAATGGCAAAGGATTAGGAGGCTTGTTTGTAGGGATTGGAGTCAATTCCCCAAGCGCTACCATTTGATTGAATATTTTTGAATATGATAATGGTAGGGGATCAAAATGTCGATACTTCCTTCCTTGATTTTGAACTGCTTCTCCAAGTCAATACGCAACAGAATTCACCATTTGTATTTCATTCTCTTTTTTTGTCCTTCTCACTTCAGTTAACTATTTTCGTGTTAGTCGAATTATCCAACTCCAACAATTTACCATTTTGATGTTGCTCAAGATTATCCTTTATAGCTTGATAATCTAGGATAACACCAAGTTTGATTTCATCCTCAACTTGTTCTCCAACAATAACCAATTGAGCAAAAGTGTAATTCACACAAGTCATTAACTTCTCATGATACGACCCTTTGACTTAATGAATAAATTACTCAATTCATGGTCAGTTAATGGAGGTTGAACTCGAGCAGTCATTCCACACCATATTTGAGCAAATTCCTTGAAGCTTTCATTTGATTTCTTTTCCATCTTTTGCAGATCTTCTCTATTAAAAGCTATTCATGAAATTGTGAGTCAAACCATGCCAACTCAGGACCTTACTTTTGTCTAAAGTAGAGAAGCAAGCATCTGCAGGGCCTATCAGACTATCCCAAAAGTAATGTATCATTAGCTTCTTGTCACTGGCATAAGGATTCATCTTCCTACAATACATTGTCAAGTCAGCATAAGGACAACTAGTGCCATTGTACTTATCGAATTTAGGCAATTTGAACTTATGTGGCAGTTGAATGTTTGGGAAAAGGCACAGAGATGAGATGTCAATCGGTTTATTGTTTTGGACACCTTGTATCGATTTTAGTGTTTCCTCCATCAATTGCACCTTTACTTTAATTGCCTTGTCTTCAACCTCAGTGATTGACTTGACAACTTGAGTAACACCAGCATTTAGAACAAGTGGTTTTGTCCTAGAAGCTCCAATAATCGGATTTGGTGGGCTAGATGACATTGGTTCCTTTCCAAAAGTTAAAGGAGATGTGGCAATAGGGAGATCTGCCATAAAAGCATTTCCTTCAATTAATGGATTTGTTGTCAAAAGTGCCCTTG